TTAGATGTGGGTTTTTTTAATTCTGCATTACCATGTGAGAACAAGACACCTGGAGAGTGCTCACTGAAGTAAACCAGAAAAACAAAAAGAAAAAAGCTTCTATAAAAGCCTTTTGTTCCACCTGGGGAATGCAGGTCCACAGGAGGTTGTCAAAACAAATAGTATGAAAGGATTTCTGGTCTGGATTAATTTTCCAGAATTGATCTTTTGAAGGTCTGCAAGGTAAGGATGGCATTTAAAGGCATACTGACTGGCCACCTCAGATGGAAGAGGATGAAGTTTTTCTTCCCAGCCCTCATGTTGCAGGAAACTTTGAGAGGGATGTGTTTTTTTCCCTCAGTTCCTCTCCAAAAATCATTGGCAATGCTTACATAAAACATCCCTGATGGTGTATAACAGGATGCTCTACAGTTTCAGCTCAGCATCACCTACGTTTGTTGCTGCGTCCACGCACACTATTACTGTGATGCAAGCATTTTGCCCTCTCTGGGATCTTGTGAAGAGGAGGAGAAATTATTGGCTAGGAAACTACTGGAGAATTCATTAACACAGACAAAGGTTAAATGTTATTCAGTCTTGATCACAGTAATGTAAGCATCTGCTATTAATAATATTTTATGACAGTTTTAGCAGTGCCTGAATAGCTGTTTGAAAGACAGGGGGAAATAGTGTGATTTGGCTTGCCAAAATTCCCTTTTATGACAAAAGCCTCTGAAAATCAGTTGTGTAATTGTGTACTGCAATTCCTCACACACAAAAAAGGACAGAACCTAAACTTTCTAAGCTGCAGTAGATAATAAAAACAGCTCAGTGTTAATCACAAACAACCAATCCATTTCCAGCCACTGCAAATCAAGACAGAAGGCAAGTATTTTATTGAAATGCTCCACTGAATTTACATGTCAAAATTGCCTTTTTTATTTCTTTTTTTAAAAATCCTTTTCTATTCTATTTCTTAGAGTTATTTTATTACCTGTAGAAATGAGCAATCTAACAATCCTGGAGACTGATGCTCCTTTCCTATTTACACTCAGAAAATGTTATATGGTAGCATCAAGGGAAACTTTTGTGTGTTGTGTTTCCCAGCTGGCCTGGCTGGACTTGGTTCTGCTCCCTGGAGCCATTGGATTTCTGTGTCTAAGATCCCTGCTATGGGAAGAAGGTGCAAGTCAGGATTTTTATGATACAGGTATTTTTTGAGCTGAAACTGTGTTGAAATAACCCAGTTGCTTCATATGGGGCACAGACCAGCTGCTAGGTTATACAAATGTGGTTTGAGCCCAGGTAATCCTCTGTACGCCTAAATTTATTTGGTCCTTTACAGGAGGTTTGCAGTTAGTCCATGGTGTTACATTACTATGAAAGCAAGTTCATACTAATAAGTGTATACAGGAGGATACAAATACCCAGATTTAATTTATTGATTCATTACAGTTTTAATTCTAGTTTGAGATAGAAGAGCTGACATCAAGTCATTGCACTTCTGTTATCAGAAGATACAAACTGCAATTTGCCTGTGCAGAAAGAATAAGACAATGGAGAACCAGGACAATGCTAAGCCATATAATGCCTTAAAATACAACTTTACATTAACTAGACAGATACATTAACTAGAATGATTATAAAGTGTGTAGCCTGGGTGTTTGGGAAGCATTACCTAGCTTGCGCTGCTGCAGCTACATTGCTAATGTGTAACCAGCTAGTCAATCCAAGCCCAGTTATTGCTTTCTTCACAAATCCAAGGGTAGTAGCCGGAGAGGAGTGTTTGCCTCCTGAACACATTTTTTTATTAAAATTTTTTATGAGAATATTGATTCCCAAGCAATATGCTATAAACAGAGCTGGCAGGACACACACATACCTGTGAATAATAATGATTTCCAAAGTCGTGCTACACTATTGTCTTTGAAAAAAAAGCCCAGAACCAAAACCCCTGAAAACCGAAGGCAATTGCATGTAAAAAGCGAGGTTCAGCCAGCAATGTTATCTGCCATAACCAAGACACAGGTTCACAGTGGGAATTGCTGGAAGTGTGCCATGGATTTGCCAAGGACCCTGCACCCAAGGGCTCCTTGAGAGATGGTCGCTGAAATTCTTCCAAAGAAAGTATTGCAGCAGCCCGGGAAAGCTTAATCAACATGTCACTTTTGTATTTTCTATATTAATGATGACTCAATTAAGATATGAACATAAAGACAGCTGGAAGGGAACTTGCAAGTGGCACGCACACGTTAATAATGTCCTTGTCTGGTTAAGGAATAAGAGTTGATGTTGGACCTGTCCCAGGCTGGGCCCTGATCTGCCACTGAGCTCTGCCCTCTCACTTAGCACAGGTCACAAGAACAGCCTTAACTGGTTGTCCTCCCCTCTAACAGTCATTAAGGAGGATAATTAGTTAACAATTATATAGCACTTAGCCTTCACTGTGACATGTGAGTTAGATCAGTAGGTTGACCTAAATAGGGTGCTTTTTATTCATGAATCATAAAGACTTTGTAATAATAACTTATTTATGATTTAGGGTAACATGGTCACTAAGTAAAATTCCCAATGAATGACCACTTAATGACAGTACCAAACACCCACTCTGATGGATGGTGTTAGGAAAACAGGAGACAGGGAAAAGTTAAAGCAAAAGCAAGAGGAATGCTAAGTATCACGCTGGAGACCCCAAAGCATTAATGACTCCCAAGCCTTAATGGTTTGGATGCTCCTATTAGCGTAAATAGGAGAGCTGCAAGGACTCATCTTCTGCTATGTGTTTGCAACACAGCAGATACAGGGAAAGCAGCTTCTAGGAACTACCAGGAGCAAGGCAATAATAAAAGCATGTTAGGAGCAAAAACTTCTTTCAGGTTGGGACACCTCTGAAGTACCTTGCAAAGCAGTGTCTTGCACAGTGTCTTGCCACAGAGCAAGTGTCCTCCCCACTAGAGAAAATGAGCACAGCAGCCCAGAAGAGAGAAGGGAGGCCAACAAGATTGGTTTATGTATATATAGCTGCCCATAAGAAACTAGAATGAGATTTCATTACACATTCCTATTTAAATAACTTTGCATGTAATTATTTAAATAATTATGCATCTGATACAAATGTCCTATTTAAATAATAACAGCTTTTACTTACTGTGGAACTTAGATGAATGTGAGCTAGTGAAACCAGGCTAAAATATTCTCCATTCTCCTACCCATCCTACCCTGTATAAAATCTGTTCTTCAGCCAAACTCAGATATGGCTGGATTATGGATTATGGATTATCTTGGCAAATAAGATAAAGAGACTTCCATCTCTAATTATCCATTTCAGATCAGAGGTTTGGGCCTTGTCTTTCACAGACCTGTACTTTTACCTATGGGTCATGAACTGCAATGTGAATCTGAAAAAGTATCAGTGGTCAAATTATATATGGCAAACTGACAGAAACTGGATAAAAATAATCTCTTTTCTGTCTGTAAATCTCATTGGGTGCCCTGTTCCTGCCTTGCATCATATCCCAGCTCCTACCTGCGTTTGTTCATCTTGTAAAAAAGTCACCACCTCATTTAGAGCTACTGTCAGTCTTCCTTCAAGGCTGGCTGAAACCAGAATGATGGTGAAGCACATTGGTGGGAACTGCATCAAATATTTTGCTTGCTTTCACTTTGCCTTTTCCTCACTTATGCTATTATTTAATTTCATGACCATTAAATGAATGCATTTCATTATCCAATTAATTAGTACCACCACTGTTTTCTAAGATCAGCAAGATACACCATAATGAACAAAAGCCCCTCTGCCTCCTTGCCTCTCAAGTGTTGAAGATAAAAGGTTTATATTGTGCTTACAGTGCTTCCCTGGACTCTATGTAGACAGCTTTACTTGGACATGACTTAACTCACTGGAAATCTGCATCCCACTCAGTCACAGCAGGGGTACAGCTGGAGTGTTATAGAGCTCCTCCAACATGGACATGAGCCATGTCAAGAAGCAAGAGGTATTCTGTAAGTACTTCACTAGTATTGGAGCCCAGCTGGAAGCAAGGGCCGTAGCAATAGGGCAGGACAAATGTGTTGGCCCAGGGTCCCAGTCAGCTGTGGCTGGCTCCTTCTGCTTCCTGAGGAGATCCCACAGAGCTAGGGCAGTAGTATTACCTTTCAAACTCCAGCATGGACATCATCTCACAGTACCAAGACTGAAAGCACTCTTTCAGTCTGAAAGTTTACTTGCATTTGCACCACCCAGTGAATCTTCCAAGGAAGCAAAGAACAACTGCATGTGCAAGATGTAGCATGGATGGCACTGCACTGAGCTTATGTAACTAGTTTAACTTTCATCTGGACAGCACAGCTAACGAGAACAGAGAAGCAGAGGTCTCAGCATAGTGCAGCTATGATGTTACACAGCAAGGATCCCAAAAGACTGTACTCAGATTTATAGCCCATGCTGCTGTATATAATTTAATCTCAGAATAAAGCTTCCAAAGCAATGGCCACATTTACTTCTATGGAGACCCACATTTAGATTTGGGAACTGAAGTGCACTGAGAAATTTCAGGATGAATTACCCCTGCCGCACCATTTCTGTGCCCACAGTCTGCTGATGTCTTAACCCATGCATGCCCTAGGGACCAACGCTCTCGCCATCTGATACCATTCAGCAGTAACCAGAGGGCCAGAAGAAGACGGCCTCTGATCAGCAACCCCTTTATAAAATCAATAAGAGAGAGGAGAACCAGTGAGGTGAGTATGTCTCTGCTTCTCACCCTGGGGCTTGGGGGCATCTGGGGGTGGTCTGCCACTGGTATTTCTCCAGCGGCAGTGAGAACAGAGCTAATCCTGCCTTTTCTTGGCAGAGAATGGACTTCAGCCTTCCTGTCAAATTACCAGAAGAGGCATACTCAGGAACTGAAGTTTTATATTCTCACATTTATTATTGTACCTGGAATGTATACTATTGTGACACTTAGTTTTCATACTTCTGTAGGAACTGAATTAATTATTTTGCTCTTTGTCTGTCACATAGTGAAAGTGAACGTAGAAGTCTTTATAAAATGCTCTGTGAGTGTCCTAAACCTGATTAAATATGTAGTGCTTTTCATAAAATTTATTTTAGAGGTGTGGAGGAAGAAGTAGATAATTTAAGGCTAGTAGCAACATAATTTATGAGGTAAGTTTGCCTAGCAGTAAAATCTATGTCAACTATTGGTGTGTTAGAAGAATAAATTGAAGGTTAACCATAAAAACTTAACCTCTTGAACTAAGCTCCTCATACAAAAAGACAATATCAGACTAAATACAGTATGCACAGGACATATTGGAAGATTTGTGAATAAAACAGACTGCAATTTGCAATAGCGAGGTTCAGCTGACTTGTGGGATTTCTTACCTAGTCTAGACAGAGCACCAAATCTCTGCCGATAAAATATTTTAGGTAAATGTTGTAATGACCAGATTTTTCCTTAATAAAGTGTGTCCAACTTGCTTATGTAAGGGACTCAGTCCTGCTGGTCTTTGGCAAGTTTGGAGGGTGCCTTATTATCTCACGCTCTTTCAGGGATATCTATTTTTAGGCTTGGAAAGGAGAGAGATGTTAGGCACCCTCGGAGCAGAGCAGGAAAGGCAATGCTGAAGTCAGAGTGGTTCCTATAGAGCTTAAGCAGATCCTGAGCGGGGCTTTGGAGATCACAATTTTACCCTAAGAAGCCACAGCTGCACTTAGCCGCTGCTTTTGGCATCTAATTCTCTACTAGATCTCACTCCTTGTCAGATGATTTGTTCAGTCTTCATGAGCTTTAAAGCTCCAGCAGCCAAGATTTTCAAGTAGACTATGGGAGTGACAGACCAGCTGCAACTTTTTCCATCAGCTCTGCTGGTGTGGTACATCTTGTTTGAAAACCCTGCTGGCATAACCTCCTAGTTCAAGTAATTTCAGAATATCCTGATCCCTGTGGAGCTCCCACTTTGGACAGTGGTTACCTGGTACAGGCAACAGAGCTGGAAAACTCCCTTAGCTGCTGAGTACTGGTCGCATGAGGTTACCAACCCTCATGAGGGAATATGGAGAGAAAATTCAAAGTGACTATTGGAAAAGGCAGCAATTAATAATCACAATTTCCTCTTGCTCCTTCCAGATCTAGGTGAGGAGAGGGCCAGGCCTCATCAAGGTGGTCAGGGACCGTGAAAGCCTGGGCTCTCTGCAGCATGTCAGAGAGAAAGGGAAATGTGTGAGTTTAGGGAATAGGTTATTCAGCTGTGTGCAGGCTTTGTATTTTGTTTAAATTAGGTTATTGATTCACCTGTCTTGTTGTGCACAAGGAAGAAGTGTGGCTCAATGGTATTTTAGTTGAAGCTATAAATAAGCAAAAGATGGTCTCGTTTAAGAGAAGAAATCTGTCTTTTGTGATGTTTTGTAAACAGAAGGTTGAAGGAGGCAAATGAAGAGGTCACCTGCCCTCGTCCCACAGCCCCGTGATGCAGCTGGGTCAGGTAGCTCCACACTCTCACAGATCCATATGCTGACCTTTCATCCATAATTCTGGATGTGCTAATCCTTTCGCTCCCAGAAAGAGCTTTTGGGCATTCCTTGCCCTCCCTTCCTGGGAAACAAGCCGTGCCACAGCCGGTGCCCCCTGAGTGCTGGCACGAGTGGCCCCTGCTTGCAGAACCGTTGCTGCTGCTGCCAACCCCGGTGGCATGGGCACTGCTGGAGGAAGGGCAGCAGTTCTTCTGCCCTGCCTGTGCCTTCAGCTCAGAGGCAGGCTGGCAGAAGAAATGCTGCTGGCCGTATGCCTCGCTGCTCCCCAGCAGGCAAACGTGGCCAGAGCAGGTGAGAGGTGGCCTTCTGCCTCTTTCCCAGCATAGGTGAGGCTTGAAGGAGGTGAGGGATGCTGCCCACCTGTGCTGGGGGATTGTCCAAAGGAGGTGGAGCAGATCCTGGTGCAGAGGGGGCACCCTTGGGCTTGGAGGGAGGAGGCGGGGAATGCAGAACCTTGTGCAAAACCTGGAGGGGGGAAACCTGTGTAGGCTTGGAGGGTGACCAGGACACAAGAACCAAGCATAAGCAATGGTGGGTATGTCCCTGTGTGACCCTGCTGCATTTTTAACCTGTAAAATAACCTCAGCACCCCAACCCGCTACAAATCTCCGCTTCCTTTATTTATCTTCTCCTGCACGGGCTACTAAACACCTACTACATTATTGCAAATACTGTAGGCAGACAAGAAATTTTCACTTTGGGGACAGGTTTAGGTGACTGTTGGCTCTGATTCCTACTCCTATCAGAAATCTTATATAATTAAACAATGATATGTATTTTTCCCATAATATCTATTGGGTCATTCACAAAGTCAAAAATATTTTCTACTAATATTGCAGAGTTTTCTTAAAATAATTTCTACAGTATTCTCTTTAGCATCTTGTTTTCATTCAGTGTAAAATTATACAGGGGTTTGTGTGTGCAGTGATGAGAATACAAACCATGGTACTTCATATAGCTAACCTACAATCAGATGTGTCCCATGTGAATTCAGAGCCCTCCACACCTTCACATTTCACAGCTGCCTTTGACAGTGAGGAACTTCAACACCTGAGTTACTGCTGCCAGCATCTAGATTCAGCCACAGAACTATCTTCTATAAAAGCCATTTTCCTTTCTTTCTAGCCTATATTTATGTTGCTTCCTTTCCAGCAGCTCTGCCCCACAGGTGTACCTCTCTTAATTTTGCTGTTTCCTCCCGCACTGCCATTCACTATCCTTCTCTGAGTCCTTAAGGCATTGGAGAGCATTATCTTCATCTGCAGCTTGTTGGTTGTCTCCCTGATCCATTCCCCACACCAACTGTTCTGCCACTTTGCCCTGTCTTAGTGCATCTTTTAGCACTTCCTCTTCTTCTTTTGACACTAAGGTTATTTTTTTTTTTTTCATACTCAGCCTGGTATATTTGAAGCTTTGTGCTTCCTGCAGTGTGGCAGACATCTGTACTTTCTTCCTGCAGATCCTTGAAAATTTGTGTTGTCAGTTTAACTCTTCCCCCACAAATCTCATTTTGGAGCAGCTTGTTCCTGCTGTCATGTTTTAATGCTTTTGGACAGCCCTACAGGGAGCAGAGTGAGGGGGCAGCAGCTCTCCTGTCCACCCCCTGTCCCAATTAATGTCGCTTTCTACAGTGTACTCCCCATCACGTGAGAGAGCAGCCATGTGATTGCACACCCTCCCCTTGCCCTTCCCTCACATTCCCAACATCATGCCCACACCTGGCCCTGCCGTAGCTTAAATATATAACTTGCACAAAGAAAATCCTAAAATCTAGTACAGGCCAACTTTCCTGACAGCAGTAAATCTAACCCTACTAGCTCATGGGAATTTGTGTGCTGCTCTCAGCCGTAGTGTGTCTGATTTAGGACACCATCCTGCAAGTCTGTATTCACAGGACCAAGATTCTCCAGTGTGGAGACGATGGTTTCTGGCTCCGCAGACTAATGCAACCTGTAAGCTGTCTTACTTTGATATAGAATGCTACTCTGCATAACTTAATATTTCAGCAAAACATTCTGGGATGGAAGCATAGGTTTTAACCTTTATGGGACAGGCCATATGGGTGCATTTAGATCAGTGGAAACTCTCTGGTGGTCTTTTGGGATCACTATTTCCCATTTCTCTGACTGAGAGTAAAAACAACAACCCCTCACACCTACAGGTGTAGCAAAAAGGGAAATGACATTCACAATGTATTACTTGCTTGGAATTATTGTCTGTAGGTCAATGAATTGCAGGAGCCAGTGCTTTAGACTTTGATTGTCTAGAAATATATAGCAAGTGACAACAGTAAATTCCAATTTACACTACTCTTGGTGTGCCCCTGGTAATGTCCCAGCCCATTAACATCAGGCTTTGTGGTTTTTGTCCTTGCCTTGTGTGGCTGTCCAACTCTCATTCTTAGGTCAGGGCTATGTCAACCCTTGTACAATAACCTCTCTTCCCATTTTAAAGTATACGTTTTTCTTCTGATACTGTCTCTGCTTCATCTTCTTGATGTACCAGAGTTTAAAACGTAATGAGGTAGTGCCAGCAGACCAAATCTTGCTTTGTTACAGGAATGTGAATGCAGACTTACACTCTTGTCTGCAGTGGATTAATGCCCTGTTGTTACTGTAGTCAGCACTGAGCCTGATGTGCAGCCTCTGTGGAGGCAATAGCTCAATGCGAGCCACTCCCTAAGCACTCCAAAATGGGCTCTTCCATTTTTCGTGGGGGAGACATACAAACTCTATTGATTAAACCAGGACAAACTAAAATAAATGCAGCAATCTTCATAGTCAAGCAGAACCTGAAGTATTACAAAGAAATGCATATTTCCTTTTGTGGGATATCTATGGGCTTCTCTTCAGACATCAATACTGCTGCTGGTCCTTATGGCTCTGTGAAACCCTGAAGTCTTGTGGAGTGCTCAGATGCTGCTGCACATTCTGTAACAACTTCTGTCCCTGGAATTAACAAGCCTATGGCCTAATTGGTAAATGCATTCAGTTTTAGTGTGTCCCAGAAAATGAAGACCAGAGAGGCTGAAAACTTTCAGGATACAAAATGAATGTCATGCTTTTTCACCCCCTTCCCCTTACCTGCTTAAGGATTTCTGCTGCTGTTTCATGTGAGCAATCAAATATCACGTAGAACTCCTTGCCCTTCTTCATCTCCTTGAGTAAAGGCCTGGCATCTTTATTCCCAGAGGGCAGCTGGCGGATTTTGATTTTAATGTTGTATCTAGAAGGGGCTTTGATGAGCTCTTGCAGGCGAATTAGACCTGAAAAAATTATATGCAGTTATACAACTAACCATTCTGTGCAATGAGCATTTATTGTCACTTAAACAGGGTCTCTTATCGGACCCAACATATTTCACATACCCAGTGGGTAGTTGTTAGCTTCATATTTACCAGCCTCCCAACTAATATTGTTATAGCTTTTCCTTTTCATACTTATACTTGGCTTCAACATCTAAATATTCTGAAACATATTTTTAATTGGTTGACCATAGGTTATGTTTGTATTGATGCTATATTGATACAGTTTATTACAAAAAGGATATAATGCTTCTTCTTTGGCAGCTAATTATTATTTCAATATTAAACAACAAGCACATAGAATTGAAGAAACCTCTTTACTAACTTTCCTGACTACTGTGAAGCATGAGCAGACGAGAGGAGACAGAGGGAGAAAAATGTTCAATGGCCAGCACCTCCATTGTGGCTCACTTAGAAGCCAGTGGTTAGCCTGAGTGGCACTTACCAATAATTATTCTTAATAGCCATCCATATGGCTCTCATTGTCCTCATTTCAGCATACATTGCAATACCCCAGAGGAGGAGCCTTAAATTTTTCTTATCATCAATTTAGAGACAAAAAGCCTCAGCAAGTCTGAGATCTTATAAAGAACTGAAATATTTTGAGATTCAGCTCTACGTCTGTAAACACAAGAACATGATTTCTAAGGCTATGTCTTCAGCTGGTACAGATTTACATGGCTTACTTGAAGTCAGCGGAGCTCAACCAGTTGAAGATTTGCCCAAGTATTTAAACACAGTGCAATTCTACTAGCTAATTCAGCACTCCTAAGTAATTTGTACTGCCTCCAAAACCTAAGTAAGATGGTAAAGAGTTCTTTGAGGTGTGTGATTACCGTCTCTTTCTCATTATCCATGAATGCAATTTACTTACAAAAAACTCGTGATCTCCTGCTGAGTGAAAGTAAAAGTCTGTCTTAAAATATGCATGGAGAGAGAGAGAATACAGGCAAGAAGCACTTCTTGAACAATAATCAAACAAATTTTTAATATGAAAAAACTCATTGCTCTCCTGCTGGGAGTGTGTATATATTTGTCTTGTGAGTGAATGTCCTTGGTTGAATGGTCCAATGGTACACATAAGGCAAGATGAAGCATCCCTATTTCTTCTGAGGTTAGAGATTGATTGCTATGTTGAGGACTGTTGGCTTTCACTCAAGTACTGGCAATGTGTTTTGAAAAAACTAATCTTTCCCTCCGCCTGTAATGCTGGGTCTGTTCTTTGCAGGTTTTCAAGTATCAACAATCAATATAGAATATTAAGCATTATAAGTATTCAAATGTAAATTACTGCACACACTGTGAGAGCGGAGCCTGGCTGGAAGCCAGCCTGTGTAAATATGAAACAATTTGAGCTCATTATTATGAGAATGGGGCACATGCTTCCAACACTGACTAACAAGTAAGGGACTTTGTGTAATCTGGCTGTAAAGCTGTAGCTTGCTTGTACCATGCACTCAAGTATTCAGCCCTTGATTGCAGTGTCTTGGCCACTATAACAAATGGCGACTCTAAGAGGGAAAACTGAGATTTGGGAGGAAGAGTCCAGCATGCAGGGAATCTTGCGTCTTATCCACAGCCGCAGACTGAGTACTGTAGTTTCTCTTTCCAGCAACAGAAAGTACTTAAGTGCAAGTGTGGGAAAAAGCAGAAGCGGTTGGTCACCCACCTCCAACTCTTTTTTGGGGGAAAGAAAATGCTCTGTGCCTTAAAATATCTACTTCAGACACCTGAGACTTGGACCTTGCACTTCCCATCACTTCCTACCACCACATGAAATGAAGGTAAAGCCTAGCTATAGTGTACTGAAGAAATCAAAGAAGTAGTGAAAAGAACTGCCGTTATTTTTCTGGAGAACCAGGCAAAAGCCTGAATCAACTGACTGCCAGCATAATTAGTAGCACAGGAGAATAGCCATCAGTGCTCTCCTTCCTCTTCCTCCTGCTCAACAAATCTAAAGCCTTGGACATGATGCCACGAAGTCTTGATTTGGGACAAATCTTAACTGTGAAGTGCTTAGTCTGACTCCTGGGGGGAGTGGGGAAGGCCTGGGCAAACGCAGTGCCTAGGGCCGTCACTTTTCTCTTGCTTGGTGAGACCATCTGAAGCTCTACCTGCAACAGTCAGGAGGCATCATGGACTGCACATGAGGTTGGGAAGGAAGTAGCAGCCAAACTGGGAAGGGCTCAGAAGCGACATATCCTGGGCATCGGCCCCCTCTCTGCAAAGTGGGTGATGTGACCTGAACAGCAACACAGCACTGCGCTGGAGCAGGAACTTGGTAGGAAAGATGCTGTAGAGTCCAGCCAGGTGGAAGCTGTGGTGGCTGAGCATGAACTGTGAAGGGCCTGTAGAGAGTGTTAGCCAGTACTGTTGGGAGGAAAATTTAAGGCTTTTAAACAAAATCTATAAGGATGGAAACCAGACTTGTTTCACTAACTTTCTTAGCCTACTGTCTGTATTCTGCTGCCTTTTACCCAGACATCTAACACTTTCCTGTTTTCCTTTGGAAACAGGGTTGGGAATTTTCTGTATTGTCGAGGAAGTATCTTGTAATCTCTAACCTTGATGGATGCAGTAAGCTTTGGGGTTGGATTTCCAACTTCAGCTAGTGGTTTGATCAAGAGAAATTGTTTGCTCTGATACTTGAGTAAAATGTTAAAATATGTGAGTCTTTGAATATTTCATATCATTTCATGATGTCTAGAACTACTGCAAGTTCTATGTGACTTATTTAAGAGTTCAAACATGCCTAACATAAACACAATGTTCCAGCAGGCAAATAATCATACACATTGGCAGTAAACATGGTAGTGTGTGTTGGGAGAAAGTTTTCACCTCCCTATTTCCTTTTTTTTTAATTAAAAAGACGTATATGTAATTAACCAGACAAAATTGAAGAAATGCTTTTACTGCTTTGGGAGAAAGTACTCCTTTTTATTAGAAAACTGTGTTAGGTTTAGCAAAGTTAGCTGTCTCTTGTAAGCGCAAGTTCAAAGAAAGCAAATTCAGTAAGAACTCAAATTCTGCCCTGTGCAAACTAATTGAACTGAAATGATGAAAAGATTTTGTTCCCCTGAGCCTTAAACAAATGCTGGGAGAGGAGGCTAACAAGTGGAGAAAGTCAGGGATTCTTATAGAAGATGAGGAATTTGATGTAGTTGCCCTTCTCAGCACTTGGTAGGTTAAAGTTATTGAATTCAGGGAAGGTAGATCAAAAGCAGAGTCAAACTTGCACTGAAGGCAGTGTTATTTCTTTTGTTTGAGTTGCTGACAACTGAGACAAAGTCATGTGTCTGTTACAGATCAATGTGCCAAATAACAAAGTGCAAAAGTGGGATATTGGAAGGGATGTATTACAAACCACTAAATTAAACCAGAGAACAGCATGTCTACCCAGTCCTAGCATGTGGAAATATAAACCATAATTTATGGTACCAAAGTTTGGGAAATGCATGCTTGATGTGTCATGCAGTTTATTGCAAGGCTTTGTTAGATTGCCTTTAAACTTCAGGAGACAATTTTTTGCCTTACGCAAAGACATTGCACTTGATAGAAACTAACTCTTTTTTAACACCTTGATGAAAAATAAAGAGGAATTAATAATCAGAATGAAGGTTGATTATGGCCTGGGGACTCTGAACATAATGTGGATTATGCTTAATATTGAAAAAAGGTCTCAACCTGAAAAATAAATACATTTGCTTAGGAGTCTTTTTTTTTCCCTAGCATTAGAAAGCTATAGGCATTAATGAGCGGGATGAGAATTTCAGAAAGAGAAAACTAAGAGATGTTGAAATAAATATTAACTCTCTAGCCAGAAGCTATTAATTTAGTATCAAGAAAGATGTCTTTGGCTGAATGTCCATCTTTCAATGACACAGTAAGGACAGCAATTAGAAATCACAATCAGCTGTAGTGTGCTTTATTATAGTCTTATTTATATTGAAGTCTAAGAGACAAGAGGGTAAAAATCTGATCAGCTCAACTCAGGAAACATGAAGAAATTTTGCAAATGTATTTTAGGAACAAAATGCAAGCATTATAACTGCTGTAGGTCCCTTTGGAGGAGACAGTAAAGTTGTTTAATATGGTACATTTGGTACCATTTAATATAATATTTGATAAGAAGCAGGATGACTAAGTACTTCCTATTCCAATTGTAATTTTTAGCACTATTGGTCAATATCATCGATATGTGAGATAACATAGAATGGCTTACCCCAATGTAAGCACTGGACAAGCAAAAAGTAAAGCTGATATGGTGGTAAAATGCTGAAGAATGAAAAATTGGGACTATAATTAAGAGAGATGTTAAGGAAGGATGACAAAGGAAGATATCTCCGTATCACACCAAGTGCCTTTGTTCGGTGTTACAAGTTCTGTTGACGCAGGTAGCTTCCTCGATGTAAAGCACTTGCCCCTGGGAGTTGTCCATCTTCATATATCATACAACCTGCTCATAAAAAATGTGGGACTATAAAGTAATCATCTACCAGATCTCAAAAAGCAGACGTCAATGAGAAAGCCTCATTAAACAGCGGAGGTCTGTGAAGGCTGGTGCTAAGCCGTTAGACATTTGTAGTGCTCTTGTCTCTGTATGCACTCCAAAATCATTGACTGGAAAAAAGTTATGGCTAAAGAACATTTGGATAACAAAAGCTGGCAGCATGGTAAATAGTGTCTGAGCTAAGGAGGGTAGGCGCAAGTGATTTGGATCATTTGGAAACATGGGCTCACTCAGATGAACTGTGTTTTCTTAACATTGCTCAGTCCACACTTGTAACTGCATTTCTGTTGATGGATGTTTCCATGCAGCAGTGAAAACCATAGCTACAGGAACTGGGCAACTACAGCTTAGCAAACTGGTGCATTATGTGGCCTCTATGCTGGAGCTGGCCGTGATGGCACGTGGGCTTGGAGCAGTGCTGTAGTGGGAAGGATGAAGCAGGATTTTCCACACATAAAGTTCAAAATAGACTCTTAACCTGGAGCAGGGCTAATGTCAACCTGAATAATCTGGGTATGGATCATTGGAAGTTCACTGTTACAGCTATGAGTTCATTGTTTGTTTGGGAATGAAGCTGCTCTTCACATATAATTAGTCTTTAAGAAAAAAATGGGGTTAATATGGTTTATCTTCTTGTGCTATAACAATGTCAAACATGAGAGATGAGAAATAAAAAGAGGTTGAGCTAAACAGCATCACTCTAACCCAAAATCCAAAGACTATTTATATTGATCAAAGTTGACCTGTTTACTTTCCTGACTCCAAGTTAGTAAGATGATTGATGATTAATTTACTTTGTAAATATCTCTGCAGATGAAGTTTCTTCAATATCAGTCATTTTTGCAACTGAACACATACACAGCACTTAGTGTTTTTGAATGCTGATTTGATAATAGAGTAGGCTGAAAAAGACCTCTACTTGTTTACCCATGAATATATTTTAGCATACAGTGCTAGGAGTCCAGCAGAAATCCTGCTGAGCTAGATCACTGTAATGGAAATGCAAGAAGACCGCTGCAGTAAGCCCAGCCTGACTTGTTCTTTCTCTTCTACCTCCATCCCTCTGGTGTACCCTGAGTCCAAGGTGAGCAGAATATTGGCACTGAGACCTGCCTCTTGGATCCAGGAGGAAACATGCTCCTTTTGTGCTGTCAACAGTGCAGAAATAAATACATCATTTTTAGCCTTAAATTGAGTTTTGGGGTTTTTTTTAGCAGAATTGTGTCTTTCAGACAAGTTTTTACAATATGATTTTAAAAGGCTTTTTTTTTTTTTTTTGCATTCTCCCTTTAAAGGCTTAGGCAGACGCCTGAGGTCATGGCTCATCTAGGTTTGTTTTATGCCATTATCAAAGAATCAATTTAAATGTTACCTGCACATCTGTAGAGCTCCAGAAGGTGCTATATTTTTGTGGTCAATGGGCAAAGAAAGGGGAATGCAAGTCTCAGAGTGGGGTTGACAGTGAAGTTCTCAGCTTGCACCAATGATGGCTAATGTGCAACAGGATTTTTCAGAAATGTGTATGGTTCAGCTATACTTTTACCATAAAAAGATAGCATTGAAGGATGGTGATGAGAGTTTACAGTGGAATAACTGTCAGTGTAAGTCTTATTTCGTTGGCTATATTTTCTTCATCTCTACAGATATGATACCTTGGGGAAAATCTTTTCTGCTGCTTAGAATTTGCCCTTACCTGTAACTTTGTGCCTTGCAAAAAGCAATCAGTTGGCAGGCCTTGCTTAGCATTTCCTTGTTTTGACAGGTGAGCTATAGACCTCTCTGAGCTTTTAATGGTTTGTTTACATGCAAACCTTTTCTTGTGAAGCCAGATTATGGAACCTTAATCCATGACTGAGTCTACACTGTAGCAGAGATTATGTTCTCTGCAGTCATGCTTGGAATAAATTTTGGTGTGTAATCCTGCTGGACAGGACTCCTTCTGAGAGCAGTTTAGGCACACAGTTCTTTCAATGACCAGAGCAGCTAATAAGTTTCTCAGAAACAATATCTTCCCACTCCAGTGAGGGAAATGACACTGCCTGAAATACTTTGGCTGTTGGTACAACATATGGTATCAGCAACAGGGGTTGATATGTAAAGCCTAGATATGTAAAGACATGCAAGAGTGGCTTGCACTTCCTTATAATATCAACACTCTTCCATAGTCTCTGTATTAAAAAAAAAGTCTTAGTCTCTGATAAGCCTCTAAATCATTTGTTCCCAGGAATGAGTTTATTTTTATCTTTTTTTGTTGTTCTTGTTCCGTGAATAAAAAGGGATGTGTTGCAGATATTGGTTGTCCATGGTATGTCGCTGGACAGCTATGACTACGGTGTGCCCCAGGGGGAGGTTCTTGTCGCAAAGAATGCATGATCTTCTCTAAGTTAAGAGTCCCAGGCTGGAAACTTTTACACTAATTGCAACTTTCAGATTCAGTCTTTGGTACCCAGCTGACAAGTGGGTTGACTGTTTCTGAGACAGTTTCAAGGAACAAGGTAGTCTTTACATTAAAAATGCTGCAGCTTGAACTTTTGGGTTGTAGGTGCATCCCTTTTAAGATCAAACTCTCATTGAGAAGGGGAATCCCTAATCAGCCCCTCACTAGAATATTTATCAGTTTGAAGCCATGTTATTGGTTCCAGAAATAGGAAGCAAAACGTGATTGAGTATTCAGAATCCAGGAGCAACCTGGTGACTTCTTAAGGTCTGATGAAGTGAACAGCTTTCCAAAAGCCACAGCAGCAGAAGGACAGCTGCACCTTACAAAATGTTTTTCTTCTATATGCTGAGGAAAACTGCTGTACGTATGCCAAAGTGAACTATCACAGGCACTCTCTCTCACAGAATTTATTCATATACATACATTAATAGAAGTACATGACCTGCAGTGCACCAGTACTACGTACCTGTGCTGTCTTCATATACTACTGTTACTATTTTCCAGTTGTAGTACAGTACAAGATCTAAAACTGCTCTGCTGATGGCTGCATAGTCTGGATAGAGGTTGATATAAAACGCATCTTTGTTATCCACTGTAGGGTGCTTCCATCGGGTCTGAATATGTGGAACTTCAAGTGCATTGCAAATGGACTGCACTGCACTGACGGAGGAGCTGTGGGAAGGTCCAAACAGAGCAGCTACACCAAGAGCGAGCTGGTCGCATGCTGAGCAAGAGAGGAAGGGAGAGGAAAAAGCTGTTAGTTGGTAAAAGCAAGTAACTTGTGTGATGTGTACTGAGATCATTTATTCTCCACCTATCCCCATCATTTCAAAGTGAGAATGGGTAACCATGTTGCTCCCAAACCCATTGAGAGATTTGCAAACGGTTCCTGAAAATGGTTTTACTGATAAGCATTGTATCGTAGAACCTGCTTGCTACAAATAAAAAACCAAAGAAACTTCTCTGCTCATTACCTTCAGATCACATTGATTCCTGAATTGCCTTTTCAGAATGGCATTATTCTGGTGAAACCAGGAGCTTTCTGGCTACGGGCTTGTCAAAGGGATGTCACATGAATTAAGTTTCATGGCAGCGTGTCAGGAAATATGTTCATAGAGTCACAACAGACACTATACGGATTCCCTCCGTGACTGGCAAGCTTCTACCAATGTGAGTTGCTTTAATTTCAGGCTACTGAAGGAATATAAACAGTAAAGGGCACTATGATTCACGGCACTCCATAATCTGTGTTTACAAAACAGGCAGTAAAGCCTAAAGCCCTCAGCAATGGCACAGGGAAATAAAAAACCAACACACACTGACATTTTAATACCTTTCCAAATCAGTCAAATGCTAGTGTCAACAAAGGTTTCTTTCTCCTTGTGCCTATATCTCAGCCAAAAGAATGCCTCCTGTAAGCGTTTTTTCTTTTTTCTTTCCCTCCCATGTCTTTTCAGGCTAACAGACAAAAGATGAAGTAATATTAATTCTTTTTGTCCGTTAGTAAAATTTACTGCAAATGTTCCTAATAAGGTTTATCAACTGGGACAAAGCCCTGCACTGAGTTGCAATGCTGTACTCTTTGTAAGGTAGTTCTCGGTGGGAAATTTAGAAATGACTGCGTTTGGGTGAAATACTAAGTACACAAACATCTACAATGAGCTGAGGTTTTTAAAATTAATATTTAGCTCTCTGATAGTAATAGAATATGACAGAAAATCAATTCTTTTCTGTTTTCAGTCTACAGATGAGTGTTTTATAGACAGCATAAAATGCACAGGCTTTCAAGGTTTAATTCAGAAGCCTTCCTAAAGGATGACAGGTTTTAATGTGCAAATTGCATAAATAATATCAATAATTCATGATGAGAAGAAATTACTACTGTCTTCATGGATTCTTTGCATGTAGATTTACAAAAATATTTAGAATTAATTCCTTCCTACAGATTAAATGGAGAAGGTACTTTCACAGTAGTCACAGAAGAGATTCTCACTCTACAGGGAATCTAAAATCCTGTTTCAGTCTGGATTATATGTGTTAGAAATCCAGCATACATGATTTTTGATAGCATAGAGTTCCAGCATATATCTGATACTTGAAAAAGAATGCAATAAATACAATTTAAAGTGATTTTCGATGTTCTTTGAAAGTGTCCTCCTTTTTTCCAATCTTTAGTAAGAAACTAAAGTACCATGAGGAGAATTTAGTAACTTAGATGTTTGAAAGGTGACAGCTCACCAGCATTCTAGCATGATTCATGATGTGAAGCATATTTATTTTCCAGCCTTCATTTGCCTTATAGCAGACACATCTTTTGCCTTGTTGCAAGCATAACTCGTACCATTTACAGTTACAGATGTTATAGTGAACTGCAAAGCACACTTGCAAAGTCTTAGTGACTTATGTGTCTTTCTCCAGGCTTGTTTGCATAAGATTGTGTGCGCACCACGTAATTCCAGGAACTAGATTGCTGTATATAAAATTTTATGAAACTTCAAGGTTGCCTCCTAGAGGTGAAGGAATACATGGTGCTTAAGGAGAGTTGTGACTTTTTTCCCCTTTCTGTTTTGGTCTGCAAGTAAAGTAGATGCAAGTAAATTGGACCATAATTTTCCCTCTGAGAAAAATAAAAGAATAGGCAAAAAAATTCCAAACTTGTCCACTCCAACTCTTATAGTTGTTTATAACAAAGAAATTTACTTCTGTCTCTAAGCCACTGAAGCATTAATATTTCAGGACACGGACGCCACTGGCCTCTGTTCTTTAAAGCACAATAGAAATAATATTATGAATAATGGATACCCGTGTGTGTGCTAATTATGGGTTGTGACATCCCACTGTGCTCCCTGTTAGTCCGTGATCATTTTCTGCAGAATTCCAGGTGGCAAATCTATTTTTTTGAAAGAAAAATGGGTTGGACTTGCCACCTTCCATCTGGGGCTCTGAGCATGCAGACAGGATGTAGGTGTTTTATCAGAAACTAGATGACAAGTCCAAGTCCAGCTTGATTCTTAGTTCAAATAACTTTGAAAGATGAATTTTGTATTACTGTTCATATGCACATCTTACAGTTGGAGCAAAAAAGGAGACCAAGCTGGGGAAAGGTAGTATAGAACATACATGTTACTGACACAGTAATTGAGATAATTACCTCTTCTCGAGGCTTCAAAACTATCAAAAAGGTTAATTCTCTGGATGTCATAGGTTAATGTGGTATTAGGCATCAGTGTTCTGTTTCTATTAATGTTGGTGACGGCAAACTTGAAAGCCAATTCTTCAATATTAACAGGTTCATTTTCCACAGTTTCAAATATCCCTCCTGTTGAAACAGAGATAAATGAGAAGTATTATTCACCTCTTCATCACTGTACATAAAAAGAGAAAAATAAATTATGAGAAATAATAATCCGAGTGTTCATAAAGAAGAACAGTTAAAATCGCTGTTAAAAGCACTGCAGCAAAAGCATATTGGATCATTAGTTTTTATCTACAATGTCACTGTAGGTTAACTCAATATTATGAATGTTGCTTAGACAAACATCTGTGAAAGATGATGCACGTTTATTATTCAGGCCTTTCAAAGTAAAATTTTTAAATGCTTGTGAAAACTTCTATCGAGTTCCTAACTAATGAAAGTACTGACATCCATAGGTCTTGTTCCCCTTGCTCTAGTGTAATCTATGTTTGGCGATTAAACTTGGATGTGTTGGAGATGTTTTCTGAAGTGTTTCTGCAGATCTTGGCAGTACAGGATCCACATTTAGAAGTGACTTAGGAGCTTGAGTAGAAATGGACTGAAAGTTTCCACTCGAGGTCTGTGTCTTAGTAGGGCGTTGTTTTTTTATAAACCTAAGGCAATGTTCGTCATTTCTCAGTTTGCTCAAGGACGGGTGAATATTTTTACTTTTTCAAAGCTCATTGCTGAATGAACTGAACTTGTTGATATAGAACATAGCTGAGCCACATGCTGCTCCCACAGAAGATTTCACCTCTGTTCCAAAGTGTTGAGTGATGTCTCCAGTGGTGTCGTGTCTACCAGTATCATCATGGCACTGGTTCAAAAGTCTCCTTGCAAAGACAGTGCCGGATCTAGCACAATTGCTCTCAACTTCCTATCATTCCTCTAGACTCTTCTTCCAACATCTGCTCTTAACTATTTGACCCAAGAGGTATGCCAACCCATTCAGTGTAATTCCAGCTGGGCAACTGCTCTTTGAGTGGTGTTCAATTTGTCAGAACTTACTTTCTACCTTTAAAACTGAAATTTTATGTACTTCTTGCTCCTTTTTAAAACAAATGAGGTGAGTCTGAGCTTTAACCTGGAAGCAAGTTTTCCAGAGAGGACCTGTAAATAACCAATCTGAATTTTGGGAGCATAATGAACTTCTTTGACACATATTCTGAGATGGGGAAGGTGGCTGTTTTTCAAGTCAACATGCTGTCCCACTTATACTGGGATGTCTACTCCCTCTAGCCTCTAGAGACTTTATTATGCCAACAACACATTCAGACTGTCTAGAAGCACTGGGATTTGATGAATGCATAACAAACACAGCTAATTTGAAAAAAAAATAGCTCCTTTAAACAGCAATCTCCAGCTTCAGTACTTGATTTTGCAAGTATAATTTACTCATTTAGTGCAAGTCACTAGAGAATACTTTGGATTTCTCAGTTACATATTTTCACACTTCCCCATGTGGAATTTAAGCCCTAGATATTGCTTTATATTTTCTGAGCATCAGAATGTATTCAGCTAATGCACTGCAATCTCTTGCAATTTTGATGTCACCAATGTAGGAATAGTGCAGTCATTAGCTGACAGTCAGGAAACAGGAACACAGTGGAATTAAAACCTGTTTCAAATTTTAACTCAGCAATGAAAACACTGGAGGCTGTCAAATCCAAGTTGGCAATGTGATCTCTAGTTACTCTTGAATACGCAGCGTTATATTATCTCTTGAACCCATACATAACAATACCTTAACATGACTTAAGCTATTTGCCAACTTAAGCAATTTTCTTGTTCACTATATGTATTTCTCATTTACTATATGCATGTATTAGAACCTTAAAGACTTTCCACTTTTCTTTTTCTCTCCCTCATAAAACATACAAATGATTACAGGAGTCTCTGACACACAGAAATAGCTGGAAAAAGTTTAAGTGCTGGGTTTGGAACCAAATTTAAAACCTCATGTGGAATGCTAAGAGTCAGTAGGATTTTCCAGATTTGCAAATTATTGGATCACCAGAAGGAAAAAAATCTAACGCCTGTTCTTTCAGATTTTATAATTCCACATCACAGTGATGATAACAAGTTTACTACTAATCTGATTAAACAAAATTTGCTTTCCTTCCTTTCACCTGAGGAAGACAAGTATTTTCAGTTAGCTATAATGCCAGTTTGGTCTTGGGCCAGCAAGATATAACTGTTGTGTTTTGCTTGGACCCCTACTAGAATTAGCAGAACATTGTTTCATAAGGCAAGGTGGATGTCACTGAGTATAATGGTGGATAGCCTGAGATAATTATTTAATAAGACAGGGTGACCGCCATCTCTCCCCACTTCCAATAACATGAGTCTCTTACCATTTGATCTTGGCAAAAAATCTTCTCCATCTTAGAAACAATTATTGTGCTGTGCCTGTATTACTTTCTACTTTTTTTTTTTTTAACTAAAAAACAACATCATTCAACCATCCTTGAGGTAACCTTCATATGTATACATACACAAGCGTTTTCATTCTAGGACTAGAACTTTTTCCAGACCTCTAATCAGTTGCTTATTAAATGGAGATTAATTTTAATTGATGTATATCTGTCCTGGTTTCAGCTGGGATACAGTTAATTTTCTTCCTAGTAGCTGGCATAGTGCTGTGTTTTGGATTTAGTAGGAGAAGGATGCTGATAACACACTGATGGTTTAGTTGTTGCTGAGTACTGCTTATGCTAGTCAAGGACTGTTCAGCTTCCCATGCTCTGCCAGGTGCACAAGAAACTGGGAGGGGGCGCAGTCAGAATAGTTGATCCAAACTGACCAAAGGGCTATTCCATACCATATGACATCATGCTCAGTATATAAACCGGGGGGGGGGCAGGCTGGGGCACAGCTTGGGAACTGTCTGGGTATTGGTCGGCGGGTGGTGAGCAATTGCATTGTGTATCACTTGCTTTGTATATCATCATTATTATTATTATTATATTGTTGTTGTTGTTGTTATACTTTATTTCAATTATTAAACTGTTCTTATCTCAACGCAGGAGTGTTTCTCACACTTACTCCTCCAATTCTCTCCCCCATCCCATCGGGGTAGGGGGAGTGCGTGAGCGGCTGCGTGGTGCTTAGTTGCTGGCTGGGGCTAAACCACAACAATATCCATGAACTATTTATACTTCATTAGCAGAAGAATTTTTTCTTGGTCCCCTTTAAAAAGAGTAGAAGCTCTCTGGCCAGAGGGAAGGAGTGGAGGGAAAGGAGGAGTGATTGAAAGAGTAAAAGGTTTGCACAGATGCATTTCCTAAGCAAACTAATCAAAACTGCATATGCACCATCACATACACTTCAAGTGTATTCAGATAGGTGTCTCTGAAAGTCAGCTGTATAATCAATATGTTGGTACCCCTTCAACATATTTTCCAGGTTCCTTTTGTACACGTTAACATAGCAGTAAAACACTTACAGAGAACTTCGGTTACATGTTTTAATTTTCTGGTAAGGTACTCTGGATAAATCTGAGTAAGAATGGGACAGCTAGTCAAGAGGTTCATAATTTTACACAGGAAATTTCATTCAGCTGAACTGGAGATGCTGAATAGGGTGCCATTTAGAGTCCCTGAAAGCTAGTTCTTCCCTTCCCCGCTAGGATGGGAAAGTTCTGAGACTTCAAAAGTCATTCTTCCAAGTCAGCAAATGTTTACTTGACTGAATGTTCTCCTGATTAAACCCAACAAAGAGTTGTGCCCTGCTGCCCATGAACAAAGTCCAAGAGATAGTTTATGGAAGAAGTTGTTGCTTACAGTGAGGGAAGTTTGGAATCACTGCATTGTGAAAAGCTTGAACTGCTACCTATTTGAGCTTGATTTTTCTGTTGGGACCTATATGTGTAAAGAAGAATTGAATCAGTCTATAAATTTGCATCACAAACAAGCCAGCAGACAAAATCTGGCTGTTCTGTGCTCTAGTGTTTTCATCCATGTGTCCTTAATGAAATATAGCAATTTAATAAATAGTTTCTCTTCTCCCGTGTTCTGCTGATCACTGACAGTCAAGCCTAGAATTTATTGTAAGGTCCAGGTTAAAAGAGAAATAGCAGAGTAAGTGACAAGTTTGATGAAGAACCGGCTTGTCAGACGATTCATTTAAATAAAGTAATTACTGTACAAAATTTTAAAAACAAATTAACCAGAGGATTCTACAAGGGAAAGAAAAAAAATGATGTTAACTCAAGATATAAATGAGGCTATTATTGCTAAGCATGAAAACAAGCACTGGTTTTCAAGGTAGCCTGCTGGTAGCACATACATGGGACAAAGCTTAACTTTTTGAGTCCTCCCTTTCACCTCGCTCCCTTCCTCCAATTACTCAGCCAGATAGTGAATCCAGTGCAACAGCTTTGGCCAACCAAAGGCTGCTTAATCCTGGTCAGTGGCAGACCTTTCTTCTGCACAGGCGATATGTCTGCCCCCATGATGAGTGGGGTTGTCCACCTGAGTCAGCAGGAAGCTGCCTACCCGAAACCAGGTGAGTGTCAGAGCTACAGGGGTTGCTCTGCTTCACATGGATGTCAACACCTCCAAGACACTGTCTCACCAGGTAGAGGTGAGGAGCAATGCCAGACGTAGGTTACCTGATCCTATTGCACGCAGGGAGTAACTCTCTGCCAGTCATGTGTGAGGACATCAGTAGGAGAACCCAGCATTCATCTCCACTTAACCGATAATCCTGCTTCAGCATACGTGTGTGAGGAAACCTTTCACTTTCAGCATTTACTTTATAAAGTGATGTCTGTGAGGATGAAGGAAAAAAAGCTATATCTGCCCCTACTTTGAATTTAGCTGTGGAAAGTAAGAGGAAAATTACTATTTGGCTAATGTTGCTCTGACAGAAATGAGGGCTGAGCCACACGAATGACTGCTCTTCAGAGAGGAGTGCAGGGTGTGAGTCAAACTGACAAATATGACAAAGCATCATCCCCATGCATCCTCAGAAGATAAAAAAGTTCTACAGCAAGTAAAATGTCAAAAATATAAAAGCACACCTCAGTAGGCACACCTGAAAAAGCAGCTCCAGTCCTTCTGAGCGAGCAAATGTTTCTATTTAAAGGGGTCATCATGGACTGAGAAAGTTTTAGAAAAGGTCATGGCTGAATCAATTTCCATACCTCTCAATGGATCTCAACGTTTCGCTTCAAGACAAGGCAGAGCGCAAAAGCTTGTTATTGGAAAAATTCTCTATCCCTATTTTAAAACCAGTCATAAACAGCAACAGCTAAAAATTGTTGACCTTTCTGATGGCAGTTATCAACCTGTCTCTCCAGGCTTCTTTGGTCATGTTTCCTCAATGCAAAATATCTCACTAACTTATTTCAGTCCCAGTACAGCAGATGTAGTACACTTTTTTAGCTGCATATACATAGAATTGCCTGAGTAGCCTTGAGGAAATTTCTCTGATTTCAGTCAGTGGTATGACTTTGATGCTTTCAAAGTAAAATGCTAACTTTTCAAAATACTTTTAAAAATTATATCCCACTTGTGGAGAGATTTTCCTTACCTACTCCATAGCAAACATAAGAACAGCATCTTACTGCATTGCATTTGGGGTTTTTTTTTGTTATTTGCTACTCTTTGTTAAAATACTACAGAAAGCCAGATGAAATGGAGGTAGGCTTACAGAGAAAGACAGCATTGATAGCCTGCAAAACAGAGGTGGGAAAATGCCATGCTTCTCTAGGGTGGTCTATGTTCCCTTCTGACACGTAAAGGAGACTGAAAGAGAAAAAATGTGTTCTGCTCTTAAGCCAGCCTGAGACCCAGTGGTCATCACAGACATGCCAAAAAAGCAGTTGTTTTTCAAATGTATATCTTACTCTGGAACATTCTCATGTTCATTATCTTGGTGGATAAATATCGTATTTCCCAATTAAATTTGTTAAAAGTCTCTCCAGCTTACTGGTGGCTATGTGAGGCAGCTCTATGGCAGGCCCATGTCCATGCTTACACAGTGCACCAGCAGTCAACCTTCCTCTCATGCTGGGATTCCACTGTGTATCAGCTATTTAACTGTCATCCAGACATTTTTTAATAATATTTTTTATTACTAACATAATTTTCTCTACTTTTGACCAGTGGAACATGCTGGCAGGGAAGGGAAGTAATTTGCTTGTACTGTTAAAATAGAGAA